TCCACAATTGAATCTACAAATCAATACCCCTCTCACATGACACTTGGACACATTAACAGCTCCCATGTCTGCTCTGTTATACACCTCTGCACATAAAACACCCACCACCAGTAATACACTCTCAGTCAGTCATGCTCAAAGACATAGATGCTGTGTTTTTTCTGGTCATAAAAACATCTTTGATTTCACACTAGATTGGCTGCAGGTGACATTCACAACACGCCTCCAAAAAGACTTTTGATGGAAAAATCTATTCTTGCCCCCAAGGCAACAGAAAGCCATGTAGCGGAAGATTCCTCTGTACTTTACCTTGCGTGATATTTTATGCTCGGTTTATTTAACATAATAAGATAACATGTGCTTTGTTTAAGTGCATCTATACATGTTTTGAAAGCCACAGGTGTTTTAAAATAATCAATGGCTACACCATTAGGTAATGGCGTCTATACACCATTAGGTAATGGTGTAGATAACTGCAGGCATTTTGTTTCACAAGCGCTTAGATATTTCAGCTACAGATGGGTTACACATTATGGGAAAAAGCAACAACAAGTGTCTTTATATTCTGAACAATCGTCTATGAGGGGCCACTTTACCGTCGATTTGCACTGGTCTGTAACTGTATGGGGATAAGAGGATCCAAACTATGCATTCGGAGGTCTTTAATAAGCATCTGCAGTATTTTAGGTTCTCCACTTTATTCATGTTTAGTCTTTACGTCTCCAGCTAAAATGAATGTGATAGCAACCAAACAGTTGCCTATATTTACTGCGTTAAAAGTTAAACCCGGAAAGTTGGTTTAACAGGAGAATTGTGAAATACCTTTGGCTATAATTTCTCACACTGCCCAAATGTGTGCTTTCTAAGAAATAGCATGAGCTTTCCTTAAAGTCTGGACAGTCAATAAATCATTTGTGTGGGAAACCTAACCAATGTGGATGCTACCTTTTTTGAATGAACAGAACTTTTGACTTATGCCATTAAAAGAAAGAAAAGAACATTGACAAAATCGCTAAAAGCAAAAGTTGAGGGATGTAAAGTTGTCATGCATATCCGTAGATGATAACCCCATGATAATAAAGCATGATTCCTTGCTCTGGAAAGTGTGAACGCCATGGCGCAGTCCAATAGTGTGATCAGAACTCATTTGCTTCAATGTTTCTCATAGAAAACCAAGGCAAGGCAAGTTTATTTATATAGCACCTTTCAACACAAGGCAATTCAAGGTGCTTTACAAAAATGAAAGACATTCAGACAAAGGCATTTAAAAACAGTCATTACAAAGAAAAGATAATAAAAGAAACATTAAAAGAAAAAATACATGAATAACAAGTACATGAATAAAAAGTACATGAATAAAAAGTTACAGTGCAGTTTAAGATATGAATAGTTCACACAGAAGTTCCACTTTACTGATTAACACAATGGCTCAGTTTGAATTTAAAAGCAGCGACAAAAAGATAAGTCTTCAGCTTGGATTTAAAAGTAGTAAGAGTTGCAGCGGACCTGCAGGTTTCTGGGAGTTTGTTTCAGATATTTGGAGCATAATAACTGAACGCTGCTTTAACCTAGACGTCCAACTGTAAGCAGGTCTTTAGTATAGCGTTTAAGAGCATTGACCGCAGCGCTCTGGGAAAGGGTTTGAGTCCAGAATAGATGTCCCAAACATCTGGTCAGAGTCGTGTCCAGACCACACTCAAAACATTCCAGGACCTTGATCTCTGTTGCAAGACTGTCATTATGGATGTGGTTGGATATATAGGGAAGCAGCAGTCAAGAAGAAAACAAGTGCCGTGATCTTCATCTGACTTCATTTGATGGTTATGGGTTCTTGCCTTCCCTCAAAATGTGCAGTTTCTAAGTTATTTTTTTCTGCTTTATTATATAAAACAGCTCCCATATTATAAATCCAGTGTGCATGCCTGGCACAGTTGATGCAAGGCATTTCTGTATTTGACAAATTGTGCATGCACGTTACCATTTCATGGCAGGTGCCACGGTTTGTTCGAAGTGTTGAACATCAACTTCAGGGTAAAGTAATTGGTGGTCATTTTCCAGAGCTCTAGGCTTGAGTATTATGACTCATGGTAGACTTAAATTATGAAAAACAAGTACTTGACTCAAAATAGTCAGCATTCAGAGAGCTCCATGACTTGCAAATCGCTTACGAAACATTGACTTGGCTAGAATGATTTGAGAAGGGACCTGGACTTGAAGCAACCGAATGCTACATGCCAATGAATCACCGGTAGGCGGTTGGGTGGCATTTCTTTCTGATGATGTCTTGGCAACAGGGATATGTTTGTAGATAATTCCCTTCATTGCAGATTGTACTATCTGTTCATTAGTGCTGCTTGGCTAACCTGCTAAAAACAGTGAGGCTTTTTGTGTGGGTCAGGTGGAACCCCACAGGAAGTAAAAACATGCAGCCAAGAAAACAGGACCTCCAGCTATATGATGGCAGGATGCAACCACACGCTCAGTCATTGTGACTTGTACTGAGCAGCCGTCTGCCATCTCAGGATCACTGCCAGGGTCAATAGCGTAGGGAACCACATGCCCCTAACCGGCACTCTCATCCATAAAGCCAATAGTTTTAATGAACAAGTGTGAAGCCCTCTGCTCAGAAATGTCAGACGGGCTGTTGTCTCCAAGATTGGTGACTATATATATCTGACCCTGGCACGTTCTCTGTTTGTGGCGGGGACAGAAGCTTCGGCAGATGGCTGACTTTGGTGTGGTAACTGGAGCGGTTTCCACTGGTGGCTTGTCTCACTGTTGACCAACTGTGGGTGTGGTCAAGCCTTTGCTGAGTGTGTACAGGACTCAAAGGAGAGTTATCTGATACCAAAACCATTGGTTGAAAGACAGAAGAAAATTTGACAAACAAACTGACAATTCTGATTGTTTAATTTGCTTTTCATGCCAAACATATTTGATTACAGCTTTTCCAATGTTAGGATTGGCTTTTTTTCTAGTACATTATTTGGATTATCTTGGAATATATTTGAATTTAGATAGTTGGGCGAAAAAAGAGCAAAATAAAGACTTGGTCGTCACCATTTAAATGTAAACCATTTTTTAATACTTAATCCATTTATTGAAAAAATTATAACTTCAAATAAATTACATTACTCGTAATAGTCTTAAGTAGTATCCTTAGTTGTTTTTTGTTAAAAATGTTTTAGATGTTTTCTCTGATCTCCAATCCGTCTTGGCGCCTACTACTATTAGATATTTTTTCTTCCACAGCTTCATTTTTCTTAACTCTGTGAAGTGTTTTTTCAATCAACCCTTTCCGAAAATGCAATATCCAGAGAGCTGCAGTTGCTTGGCTGACATGCAGTGTCTGTTCATGTTCCATCATACCTATCACAGCCCCAGCACCACACAGACAGATCCATTAGTCATGCCCTGGGAAGTGAATTTCAGAAAGGGTCCTGCCCTGGCTGTTTCCCGCAGAGTGATGAGCGCCTGCCCATTTTCCCCCACTGACAGCTCCCCTTCAAACTTGATGCTGACAATGTTCTGGACCTCCACATCAATTATAATGCCCTGCTGTGTTTCTACCCACCCTGTTGAAATAGTCTTGTTTGTAAAACCCAGATCCTGGAGGCTGATTTGACAGAAAGTTGAGGGAGGAGGAGGGATGTGGTCGTGAGAAAAGCAGCACATACCGGTGGTATGGAAAGAGGCCATGAACAGGATCTTCCAAGTACATACAATAACACACAGACTCTTCTAAATGTACACAATCAAATACACATGTCCTTATTCCCTCTTTTTGCCAACTTCGCAACTGCTGTCAGTGAGGATCATCTAATCGTGGTCAGTTTGGACTCAAGGTTCAAAATAGGACGATATATTAATCTAGGAGGCAAGAGCTCTGAGTCCCCTCCCCCCTTTGCCACTTGTTGAGCCGAGAGGCTAAATGAGGCCAGCAGGAAGAGGCATAACGTTGTGAGTGACCCTCCCTGTACATGAACAAAAAGCCAAAATAAATTCTGGAGGCGTCTGATTTGAGGGTCGTTCTGCGGTTTGGGCCGAAAGCTTGCCTCAGTTAGTTCTGCTGACATGTAGTCAACAGGAGCGTTGTAAATTCCAGTGAGCTTGTTATCACTCTCTGCCAAAAATGAGTGGTTAGGGATTAACCTAAATGCCTACAGCTGAGCACAACAAAGTGGCCGCACGCATGCAACGGGAGGTTTAGGTCACTTTATATAACACTTGTTCTTGTTCTCATAGAACCCCGGAAATAAATTGGCATTTAACCATTCCGGTTTGCAGCCATGTAACTGTGATGTTAGTTTATAGCATTATGTTAGCTTTTTATTACTGCCAATTGCATTTCATGCTTCATTTACAAAATCATAAAGTGGTGCTAATATGTAAAAATGATCCTGCTGAGCAAAACCTGTTAAGCATCGTAAATGTGTGTTTGCAACAGATCTTATTTTCTGCAATATTCCAAAATTCTACGAGCTAATCCCTTCGCTTTTTGTCGAGGGAGTCCTTGCGATGCTTACATTCGGGATGGCCTACGAAAATACGTCATCACTGGACCACTCGATTACCTTTGCCAATGAGGTTATGTACGGCTTGAGCTGTTTTTCTGTCAGCAGGAATACATTTATTGTTTTCAATCAGAAATGGTTCTGGGTTGTTTTTGCACCCTTAGCAAAAAAATACAACGGATCTTCTTTGTAGTGTCCATGTTGTACCTGTTCAAGTGTCTCCATTGCGCTTCAGACCTACACCCATCTTGATATTGTGATTAAGAGATTGTGGTACTATAGGGTTTCTCAAAGATCGAAAGAGAGTTTTGTCATGCAAGGAACCTTGATATGCTGAAGCTTTATGGAAATACTAATAACCATTTCTGAAGGTGTGCATCAGGGAATATGTTGGGGCCTGAGTTAATCAATACAACTTTCTTTTGAAGCTCCTTACCTTGACTTCTTACAGATTGTTTTACCTTTTCAACTATTTCCATCCACCAGGTTTACAGGAAGGCGGTCGGTCAGATGAGCCAGGGTCTGATCAGGAGGCTGACGGTGCTCAGCCAGTACGAGGAGGCGCTGGTCAAGATCAACGCCACGGCTGCTGAGCGGCTGACGGCTGTTAAGGCGAAGCCCCAAGCGGCCACCCAGAGAGACATGCTGTCCATCTGCAACGACCCATTCACTGTGGCCCAACAGCTCACACACATAGAACTGGTGAGTCTTTATATTCTTAATTTCGGTTTTTTGTTTTGTTTTCCTTTCTTACGTCAAGGACAATCCCCATTGATCTACAGAAACATGTTATGGAGCCAGTCCTGGCCCACAACACCAATTTTCTGCCTCGTCCTAAAATCCATTCTCTAAATTATTTGTTGTGATTTGTTAAACCAATGACTTAAACTCATATAGACATTTGTGGCAAAGAGAATAAATCAATGCTGAAGAGGAGAACATGTGAGAGAAATGGGAGAGCTGACATGAATGATGGTTTAGAAATCCGTGTGGTCGCCGAGGTGCACCGAACGCCACAGTTCCTCCCACGTCTGACCTACCACAGCATTGATTTTAAACACTGTCGTTGACCACAGCTTTATATTCATTACCTGTCAGTTTGTCTTTGAAAAAACAAATCAGTCAATCGTAAACATCAAGGTTGTCTACCGAGATGTATAACGTTTACTCCTAATTTACATGTTCCCATGCATTTTTTTAACATATGCATTGTAAAACAAAAATTCAAGCTAAGATGAACTCCTATTAGTTTTGAAACGTACTTATGTGAGATGTAAATCTTGTGATGTAGCATAATTACCGGTGCTTGAATAAGTATGTAATCTAGTCACATTCTCTTGGATATATCTGTTAGCAACACACTGTTTATTAAACTTAATTTACTTTAGATTTAAAGAGGCCCTATTATTCTTTTGGGGGTTTTTCCTTTCCTGTAATGTGTTTATACAGGTTTTTGTACATGTAAATGGTCTTCAAAGGCTAACATTTCAATGTTCAAAGCTCTGTTTAAGCATTGAAACATGTCACAGTAGATGCACACTGTACAGATGTTGTCGATTTCTGTGTTCAGCCAAATGAGTTAAGGCATCTCCATGTGGTTAGTCCATGTAAATGTATTGATTGTATGACCAACAAATATGCTTTATCATGAGATATATATATATATCCTTATCCAGTTAAGAATCTACCTATATCAGGATAAAAGATTTTGGCCACATCGTCCGGCAAACTAAATATTTGTTCCTTTCCTTCTCAGGAGAGACTGAGTTACATCGGACCTGAAGAATTCGTTCAGGCTTTTGTCCAGAAAGACCCTCTGGACAACGATAAGGTAATGTCTGCATGCTTTTCTATCTGCAAATCGGCAGATAGGAGGAGTATATACGGATCAGTAGTTATGCAATCTTCTTTTGGCTGTAATCCTGTGTGCAGACCTGATCAATCTGCGCCTGATGTGGGTTAGAAGACAGACGGCCTAGTTTCTGTTCCAGACAGATGTAACGTTTACACAACACACAGATCGGCCCCCGCACAGGTCAAAGTGAGGGCAGCGGATTTCTAGACCGTAGCAGCAGACCAAATATCCGCTCTTCACACACGTTCAGAAACACACACTCGGACACACCTCACCGACAATTTTCAAAAATCATTCCAGTGGCTGGATGTGCATGCATGCACCCTCATCTCCTAGCAACCGCTGCTGCCAAGCGTTTGTTTAGGGAAGGGGCGTGTTTGTTTCTTAATGTGTTTGTCTGGCCGTGGGGTTCTCTTGTCTGGCATTCGGCTGCTAGGCAACAGTCCCCCTTTTTTTTGGAAGTGAGGTGACGGGGGGGTTAAGGCTGCCTTTGTGCCTCAGGCTAGCCTTCTTTCTATTGCAACGAGGTGTGTGTGTGTGTGTGTGTGTGTGTGTGTGTGTGTGTGTGTGTGTGTGTGTGTGTGTGTGTGTGTGTGTGTGTGTGTGTGTGTGTGTGTGTGTGTGTGTGTCCAGTGGCGTAAGGCCAGAGGAATGTGTGGAATTGGATCAAGAGGAATCCACACAAAGGACCAGCATGCATAATGTGAATAACATTGACCACTATTGTGCGTATAGAAGCAGCATGAAGTTAACCGTGATTGGCTACAGGTCTTTCTAGCCAAATAGTTTAATTTGTATGCATTCACTGAGGGTAATGGGGGAAAAAAGCAGATATCAGCTATATTTTTTCCACTTCATCACTTTTCATGCTTTGCGACAAGCTAAAATGCTAATTAAAAAGTCTGTTGTTGTCGTTTTAGAGCTGCTTCAGTGATCACAAGAAGGCCAGCAACCTGGAAGCTTATGTGGAATGGTTCAACAGACTCAGTTATCTGGTGGCTACAGAAATCTGCATGGTGAGTAATGAACATGAGGCCAACCGGCCAACCCCACTCTTGAATTAAAAAAAGAACAGCGCTATGCATAAGGACTGCTATTACTGATTGTTTTTAATGAACAAAATAGTGACAAAGCTTGTATGGTCCAATCAAAAATCTGAAACACCAACATTTCCATTTATAAACTGAAGAGAGAACGGCAAATTCTCAGTCTTGAGAAGCTCAAAACTAAAATGTTTGGCATTTCTTTCCTCAATAATTGACTTGAATGCTTAATTTATTATCAAAGTTGTTGTTAATCTTTTTTTTCTGGAAATAAACTGGTCATTCCAGTGTTAGAGGCGACCTCGACACTTATTATATTACTTCAAACTGAGAAAACTGCATCACATTAAAGAAACTGGAACCAGTTAATGTTTGTTTTTTTAATAAATTGCTTGCTTTAGCATCAAATGGGTAGTAAAAGTGAAATTATTGCCACAAAAACGTCCAATACATCAAAAGCAAACCTTAACAAATGTATCTTCAAGTACAAGCAAACCACACTTTTATTAAGCAAGCTGATAAAAAAAAAAGAACAATTACCAGACAGTGTTCTCCAATGCTCTTCATTTTGTTAACAGCCCGTGAAGAAGAAGCACCGAGCTCGGGTCATGGAGTTCTTCATTGACGTGGCGCGTGAATGCTTCAACATCGGAAACTTTAACTCCCTCATGGCCATCATATGTAAGTTGTGTTCTTCTTTCTTCCCATGAAATAGGACCATAGGACTTGTTCTTTGCACTTGTTCCCTCCGATCTGTGTTCCTCTATCTGGACATCAGCGATTTAGATCAGCTGTGCAAATGCAATTTGTTGTTTATTTAGAATGTCTGCTATTTATCCTTCCCTTGTAGCAGTAACCGCTCATAACGAACGTAATATACTCGAGTCTAATGATATTAGTGAGGCTCAGAAACAGAGTGAACGTTGCAGCACTTCATGCAGATAATTGTCTGTTTGTCTCTGTGGCCTCTGCCGTTGGCATTCCACTGCTTACAAACACAGAAACATATTCACTCAGACTGCATCTGAGAATTATGGGTACTGTGAGGTCAGCAAGTGACTAATACTTGGGTGAAAAGCTTTTATTTTTGGTTTCATTTTGGCCTTGTTGCAACATGTGTGGTGAGAGAGGGGCTCCCTCAGAAGTCTACAACTATCCAAGGGTTTAGTTGGACAGGTAGCAGCAGCATTTGTTTAAAGGGGCCCTATTATGCTTTTGGGGGGTTTCCCTTCCCCGTATTGTGCTATATCGCTTTTTGTGCATGTAAATGGTCTACAAAGGCTCAAATCCAAAAGTTCCTTCCAAAGGGAGTTTATCTCCCACACACTAACGCATTCTACATGATAGACTAAGGGTCGAATCATCTCTAAATGGTTGACCAATCACAACAGAGCCAATCGGGCGGTGTGAGCAAAATAAATAACTTTTGGTTATTAAATATCGTCCACCACAAAGAGATCTCATAAAAAAGTAATCCCTCGTGATAGTGAGGTGTGCTGATGATCGGAAGGTTCCGAGTTCAAATCCCGCCTGGAACATCACTACTAGTGTGCCCTTGAGTAAGGCACTCAGTTACTCCAGGGAGAATGTCCCTGTAATTGGTCATTGTAAGTCGTCTGCTAAATTGTAAATTATATTTTTGGGAGAATAAACCCCACAGATCCTCAACTCCGGTGTGTCACTCATTAACAACCAGTGTTCTGCTAGTTACTGAAAACCAGTAACTAGTTACCATTACTAGTTACTTCATTTCAAAAGTAACTCCGTTACTTTACTGATTACTTACACCAAAAAGAACAGTAACGCATTAGTTACTTAAAAAAAGGGCTCCCATTAATGCCCTTTTATAGCCTTCATTTCAGTACTGTTATTGCATTGGAGAATAATACAATATGTTGATCAAGAAATAGCAATAGAAATAGTAGAAATAGCCTGCATGTGTTCTACAACATACCGTGCAATGGCTTTATCAACTTTTCCCTGGCTAGCAGTTGTTAGAAATTAAAATCAATGTTTTGTAGCATAATTTAGTTGGAACATACCGTCTGTTTAAATGCTATTTACTCTGGAAAAAAACGGAAGTTCTCAATACCAAGCTTTTATTCTGAAAAGCATTCATGACGATATCCGGGAATACCGTCAAGTAGTATCATTAAAGTGACTATTGACGCCGTTAACATGTATTACATATAAAGTTATGAAAGAGAGAAGGAGGAGAAAAGGCGTGCTCGACAAAAGTGAAATAGTGAGAATATCTCCAGGCGGAGAAACTCGACTTGAGCTCCGCTGCCGCCATGATAGTCTTGTTAGTTAACACAAACACGCCCACAGCGCGTCTCCGCATGTGACACAGGAAGTATCTAAGTACATTTACTCAAGTACTGAAAAAATAACGGAGTAACGCACCATGTAGTAACGGTAACTGAGTTACTGAATTTAAAAAATAACGCGTTAGAGTACTAGTTACTGACAAAAATAACGGTGTTAAAGTAACGCGTTACTTTGTAACGCGTTAGTCCCAACACTGTTAACAACGCAACACAGAGCAACAAGAACGTTGTCTGCTACAGTAGCCATGATCTCGCATGTATTTTCTTATTTGAGGGGGGGGGCGGATGCGTGGGCCACCCGAATAGGTTAAGGGGCCTTTGGCTTTTCCTGCCGGGGTGGGGTGCGGTGCCCCCACAAATAGATTAAAATGATGTGGGAAACACTACATAATATGTCCTCTTGTAAACTTTGAATTTGACTTATGGCTGGATAATTATTAGTGATGAAGTAAAACCTTTAATTTTTCATTTCACCTTTACCAAAGCTACTTAAAGGAATACATCACCCACAAAATTACCATGTATGTAACGATTATTCACCCCATGCAGCCTTGTATTCCCAAAAGAAAAAGGGTTCTTAAGTTGTATTTAATAGCTTTGAGTCGTAAATGTGTGATAAAATGTACCTTAAACATGATAATATTCCAAGCAGTCCAAAAGCACCTTAACACAGTTTAGAGACCTCGCTGCAGGACGGGCTCTGGGGATCCAAGAGATGTCCCAGGGTTTACTGCACAGGGCATCTGGTCATCCTCTCAGGCCAGAGGGGGGAGGCCCTGTGTGTCCAGATCAATGAGGGGGAGGGAGGGAGGGGGTTGAAGCTGGAAGTTGACGCAGAACAAACCATACAGGCAGATGGTCAGCACTGACCAGAAAGAGTGAGCCCACAAGGGAAGAGGGAGAGAGGGAGGGACTGAGGGAGAGGAGAGGATATTGGAGTGCCAGCTGTCCTCTCTCCTTCTCCCCAGAGAGATAGAAAGAGAGCCACAGGCTAAACCCACCTCCAGGGAACCACCAGGGTTAGAGGATGTGTTTGGGATCTAATTAAAGGGTTAGTTCGCACAAATTATGTAAGCTAATAAACCGCACCTTTATCTGGGTTTAGCCGGACTGATCTGTGTTTGGCTCTTGGAGGAGCAAGTCTGCTTGGATTCTTTTATTGTTAGCAAGAAATTAACAGATTTTTTTTTTCTTGACCCAACCCATCACAGGCCAGGATCAGAACAGCCTTTAGTTTAGAGAAAAATATCAAAACTTGGGTGAAAAAAACAGAAACTGTGTGTGGCTTGGTAGAATAAATAAAATGATGCTTCCAGAATTTAGTCAAATGTATATACAAATGTTTTACAGTATATGACTTGCCCACGAAAATCTTTTTAAAGGCAGGTTCCGGTTGGCCAACATTTATAAAAATATGTTTAATTTGTAGAATAATAATAGAGAATATGTGACGTACTCGAAAAGAGGAATACAGGCAGGTTCAAATTGGCCAGATTTTGTATTGATATCTATAGAAGCGATAAGTTGTATCAAAAGAAAAACAGATTTGTAAGGGCTTAGCCTACTCTTTTTTTAAATACAATATTAAAAGATACCCACTGTTAGTGTCTCTTGATTGCTTCTGCAACATTGTGTTGGTGCTGAGAAGGAGAAGACATAAACGGTATATTATTGTTCCCATAAAGGGGAGTGTGGGTCCCAGCGGGGCGACTACCACACCCCACACCTGTCCACAACACACACACTAGTGTCTGTGAGTAAATGGAGCCGTTTTACTGGCATGACATGATCTGAAATTTTGCCTGTGCTGTTCTGAAGTGGTATGTCCAACTCAAAGTGTCTCCTGGAAAGTTGAATGGGTTCAGGAAGAAAATGAGATTTAGCGGTGTAGGGTTTTATATTTCTCTGTGTGGATAGGACTTCTTTTGTGTGTGCTGGAGGGTTGTTTTGTGTTGTTCTGCTCTGGCGGTGACCTTTGGTGCCTGAACCTCACACACACAGAATTACCATATGGGAAGCAGAGAGCCTGGAGGGGAAACCAGGCGTGTGTTAACTCTATTGTTACTGCGGCCTTTTGCCTCGCTGCATCAGAAGAAACAACAGTGGGAAATAAAAAGAAAAGGGGGGG